CTCTCCCCCGCTCTCTCTTCTTTTCTCTCCCCCTCGGTTTTCCTCTCTCTCTTTTGCTTTATCGAGCTGATACTGAAGTATAAAAATATCAAGAGGCTGGAGCCCTGAAGGACGACAGTGCTCCGACCTAGGTGTGGTGTCCAAAAGAATGCTGCATTATAACCACCAGGGAAATGATAAAAAGTTCATGTTCACGATCGCCCGGCCACATGACCGGCGCTGGCCAATCGCTGGATTCAACCACTCATAAACTTCTATCACAAAGTTGTAAATTTTCATAAAACAACAAGGAATTTATTGCATTTCTTCATGGCTGCTCCACCAGCAACCCTTTTCTCAGTCGCCATCTTCTTTTCTTCTCCTTCTCGATTTTTGGGGAAACCCCAATCTGAGAAGGTGTGAGATTTGGGGAGTGGGGAATCAGATAGAGGAGGCACAAGCATCCATCTGGGAAGGGGGTTCTTTTTGGAACCTCGCTATTCTCACTGGAGCTCTATCCTTCTTTTCTAGTAAAAAATTCACCCCCAAACCTCCACACAGGGTCTTTTCTAAGGCAATTTGGGGGTGAGTTGGGGGCAACAGTCAATGTCCGGAACTGCCACTAGCCTCAGGGAAAAATGAACGCGTCAAGGCCCCCTTTCCCCCTCTGAGTGCCCCGCTCACTCTCAGCCCTATAGATGGCAGGACCCTACCTGTGAGGGCTTGTAGCACTGCGGGTGTGGGGCCGTAGATCCCCTAGGGCCTAGCTTTTGCCCCAAGTAAGGTGGCGCTAATGGAGGCCAAGGCAAACACTCTAGCCACCGAATGATTGCCTCTGCACCCCAGGAATTGGAGGAGAGCAAAGCCGGACCTGGACACTTGGCTCTCTCGCCCAATGTGCACTTGCCCAGATTCCCAAGGACAACTCCCCTGGCCCTCTGCGGGGGGGGGGGGGTGGTCTGCAGTCCTTAATGTGGGTACCGCAGGTTTAGGAGCCTTTTACTTAAAAATTTAGAGTAAACAGATTCTCCTAAACCATGATTCCTTTCAATCATCTTCCCTTTTCAGTACCCAATGCCTGGTTTTTAAATTTAAATAAGCCAGGATTTATAATCGAATAAATACTAAAAATCAGCTCCGAAGGTCTAGACGGTGTCCTCCGGTGTTTCTCTCTCAATCGAGGGGATATTTTGGAGCCAAACAACCCAAATTCACCCCGGGTTTCCCAGGTCCCCTGATACACGCCGGTATTTTGAATTGAGCTACCAGCGCCCAAATTCAGGAAAGGAAATAACCTCCCTCGCAAAATGTTATTCTTTTTCTCTTTCTCTGTACCCCGGAGAAGATTTCCAGGTTGCCGGCATCGCGGACAGCGGGCAGAAAAGCGCGGAGGCAGCCGGCGGAGCCCGGCCGGCGGCTGGGCCGCCGGGCTCAGAGCGGCCGGGATGCGGCCACAGCAGCCGGTAACTCGCAATGCTCAGCCTCTCACTCCCGGCGCTCATTTTTTTCTCCCCCAATTTTAAGTTTTACTTGGGTCCGTGGGTCAATTTAGAATGAGGTCAATTAAATGAAAGTAAAATAAATTGAAATAAAATAACCGAATAGCTCTTGCGGGAAATATTTGCGGGCTGAGCGGAAAGCCGGGCGCATCTCGAGGTTGGAGGCCTGTCTGGGCGGCTGGGAGGTTTCTGCTCGCCCGCCCGGCCTGTGCCCAACGCCGCCTGCCCACCCACCCGCTGGCCAGAGAAGGAGTGGATTTGGGTGGTCACCTTCCCTTTCCTTCTGCTCTTCCTTAGCTTGGGGCCTAGCACTTTGGATTTCAGCTCTGTATGTTTGTGCCCCGTGGAGGTGCCGAGCCACAGCCTGGTGTGAAGGCTTGGATGAGGAAGGGTCTGTGGAACGCTGGGGTTTGGTTTGGCTTGGTTTTGTGAATGTGTGTGACTGAGCGTGTGGACTCAAGGACGTGTTTACTTGGGGGCAAATGTGAATCTGTGTGTTTATAAGCCAATGTGTGAGTGTTACCCTGGTATGTATAAATGTGTCTGTGAGTGAGTGTGAATGTAGGTTTACTTGTGTGAGTGAATGTGAATACATGTGTTCTGGAAAGGGTTTGGGATGTGTGAATGCTTGTATATTTATTTGTGAACATAATGAATATGGGTGTTTGTGACTCTGTATGACAAGGTATATATTTATGTGCAATGTCAGCCTGTAACTAGATGTGATTGTGTGCGCTTGTGTGTCAATGTGTGTTAAAAAAAAAAAAGTAAAGGGACTACATATGTGTGGTATCTGGCCAGAGCAAGGAACACAAGGAAAAAAAGAGCAGATACCAGCACATTAAGAAATGAGCCGCAGCAGAAGTTGGGCACCGGTATGCATGACTATCTCTCACCCACTCCCAGCCTTAGAGAGACAGAAAAGAGGACATATATTTATTTTTAATTTCTTTTATTTCTCCATCTTTCAGGTATACATAGAATGGAAAGAGGATCACAGGGCTGGCAGGAGCAAGGAGCAGCGGGCAGACCAGGTGCATAGAGGGGACACTTGAGCTAGTTGGTGGGTCCTAGGGGCTCCCTAAGGCCCCTTCAGTGCCACTACTGGGAAGGCAGGGGGCTCAGGAAGTCAGGGAACCACACACAGTCCAGACCCACAGACCACAAAGACAGCATCAAAGAGGGGGCTTACAAAACAACAAGATTTTACCAAAGACCTTACAATTAGCGACATAAAAGAAGGGGAGGCAAATTCCAGAAAGCTACGGAACAGGTAGATGATGTCCTTTCGATATTGTACAAAACAAACCCGACGGACTTTCCTATAGGTAGTATTTTTTTCATTGTTAAGAAACCAAAATTTCACCTTCTCTCCTTAAAAAAAATTTTAACTGCTTTCCATTTAAATAGTTTTGTTTTTTGTTTTCCTCTCTATTTGACTTGAGTTTCCTGGTTCAGTTCCCAGGGCTGAGCTTCTCTCTTTCTCTCCCTTTCTCTTGTCTCTTCCTCTGCCCCTCACTCTTCCTCATCCTCCTCCACCTCGGCCTTGTCCTGGTTGGCGGCCCCGGGGCCTGAGGTCTTGTTCTCTTTTTTCCACTTCATGCGGCGGTTCTGGAACCAGATCTTGATCTGTCTTTCCGTGAGGCAGAGCGCGTGCGCGATCTCGATGCGCCGCCGCCTCGTCAGGTAGCGATTGTAGTGAAACTCCTTCTCCAGCTCCAGGGTCTGATAGCGGGTGTAGGTCTGGCGCCCTCGCTTGCGGTCGGTCCCTGCGCGGAGTATTTACGGGAGAAAAATCAGTGCGTGCAGAACAAGCCATGACAACGAAAACCAAGCTAGTGACCCTGGAGTGCGACTCTAGGCCTGGCCTGAGGGCTTTTCGCAAAAAGAAAAGGAGACCGCCTTATGGGTCCAGTCTACCCCTCCCCCATCCTGTTATGGAATGAGGAGGAGGTGAGAATTTGCAGATTTCCTTGGCGCAGTGGAGTTGGTCTGAGGGCAGTTGCCCTCTGATGACTATTTTTCAATGAGTGGCTGAAGTTCAGGCTGTCCTGCCTGCCCACCTGCCCAGACTCTCAGCCCTCCAAAGCAATCTTTGGGCCTCCGGGAAGGCACAGGGGGAGAGGAGACACAGCAGCCTGCTTTGGGGTGGAACATTCAGTACCTGGCTGGCGGGGGCAGACGGGCAGGGGAGAGCTTCCCAGGTTAGGCCCCAAACCCTGAGGAGGCTGGAGAGAGGTTGTGCTGGGGGAGGTGCTGGTGCCAGCCCTCCTAGGAAGGAGACAGTGGGAGGAGGGGTTGGGGGCCTAATTTCAAGTCAGATAAAAGCCAAGCTGAAATGTTTATGAGCAGAAAAATTTGGGCTTTAATAAATCAGCTGGAAAGGCAGTTGAATTATGGAGCAGGTAATGGGGACTGTGACCACTAATACTGATGGAATAAGAGCTGGGCTTCTCTTGGCCCTCAACCCTGGCTGGACTGGGAGCCTCTGACCACACATCTTGGGTCTCCTGGATCTTGAGAGAAGCCTCGGAGTTCAGGGCAACAAAAGAAGGCTGTCTGGGACAGCCTTGTCAGGAGACCCCCACAGAGCCTCTGGTCTCTTGGGGTTTCTGCAGTAGCTGCCTCAGTGGCCTGCACTCTCTAACTCTTGATTTGACTTCTTGGAGTCCTTGTTTCCCCCCCAAGAGGACATCCATCCTTCTGGAAGGACACTTGCAAACTTGTTGGCCAGTTCTCCAGGGGTGCTAGGAAGGGCACCTGAGGAAGTCAGCTGGCCTCCCCATGAGGCCTCTGCTCCTTTCTCTAGTTCTCCTGCCTCCCCCTTCCCAAGTTCACTGGGGGGTCAGAAGCCTCTCTCTTTTGGCCTCAGTCCCCCTCTCTCCACCTGCCTCTGTGTCCCCGACTGAATCCTCATCTCCTCTCACACGCCCTCCTCCCGCCAGGCCTCTAGAGCCCACCTCTAATTGTCCAGAAGGAAATAATGGGGGAGCGGGTTGGCTGGAAGGAAAGGGGGAGGGGAGAACTGCTCAGAGCTACAGCCCCCTCCCCCAGACCTTATCCAAGCTGGGACTGAGGGGACACACCCAGAGATGAGATCCCCGGCGGGGGAAGGGAGAAGGGAGGGGGGAGACCCTAATGGCTATTCTCTGCAAACCCCAGCCTTCCTCCGCAAGACAAACGGCCTCGTCTCCAGCCCGTGCCGGCGCGGCTGATAAATATTTAAAGCTAAAAGGCCGGGAGGAAGGGTGGGGGGTGGGCTGGGGGCTCAGAGCGCCGCGGCGTCGGCGAAGAGGGATCCGCCAGGGAAGCAGAGCGAGCCTGAGAGCACCAAGCAAAAATGGGAGGGGGGCGGCGCGCCGTGTCGCGGCTCAGGGGGGGGGGGGGGGCCGCGTCCCCAGGGCCGATCTCCTACCAGGAGCACTCTGGACGCGAAGAGGGGCGGTTGGCCGGGAAGGGGGCGCCTTCCGGGATATGTGCCCGGGCCGCTGCGGCTCGGGACGGCTCGGTGCGCGGCGTTACCTGAGCTTCGCATCCAGGGGTAGATCCGGAAGTTACTCTCGGCCGCCAAGTCCGAGTCCCTCTGCTCCTTGGCGCCCGCCGCCTTGGCAGAGTCGCCGGGACACACCCCGGAGAGGTTCTGCTCAAAGGGCGCGCAGTGCATGTTGAAGGAACTCGGCTCGAGCCCGTAGCCGGCCGCGTAGACGCCGGCTGCGCTCTGGCCCGCCATGCCCCCCCCGCCGGGGTACAAGCCCTGCATCGAGGCGGCGAAGGAAGCGCCCGAACCGGCTCCATAGCCCGGGCGCTGGGGGTTGGAAGCAAACGCACAAGAAGTTTGTTCGGGGAAGGCTCCGGTAGCGAAAACCGAACTTGCGGCAGGATATTTAGAAAATAAAGCATTCGCATAATACAATGAACTCATAATTTGGCCGGATGATTTGTAGGCAGGGACGTTTTAGTGTCGGTTTTACGAGATTCCTTGATATATTACAGAATTAGAGTCCAGATTTACACCAAAAAGGACCCCCTTTTTCCTCTCTGGACCACGTGACCCCACCCACGTGACGTCCCCTCAGCCAATGGCCGAGCAGCCTCCCCACGGCTCCCGGTAATGTGGAAAAAATTGTGTGGCGTTGGATTTATAAAATATGATCAATAATGAATGGGAAAGCCAGGCCCTGTGGATTGGGGCTGGGGGGCTCCAGGGCCGCTATCGACCCCCGTGGGCTGGAGGCAGCTTGCAGGCGAGATTTGGGGGAGGAAGGGATTGAGTGGAAGGGAAAATAAATAACCTGAGAGGGATCCGAGTTGTCACCACCCCCCATCCTCCCCAGCCCGTTACCCAGACAGAAACAAACGCAGGGATTGCACACAACTGGTGGGTGGGGGCGGGCAGGCCAGGTCTTTATTAATCTGGAGCGATTCAGCCTGGCTGGCCCTTTGGGGAAACTTGGTCCGGACTTGGGCCGTTTCTCCTGAGGTGAGGCGTGAGGTGAGCCTGGCCTCACGCTGTCTCTGTGTGCGGCCCAGACAGAACGGGCAGGGATGCAGCGAGGTTTCGTGGGTGCTCCCAGCGGTGCGGGATCCAGCCCCAGGGGCGTTGGATGCTGCAGTTCCTGATGGCTTAAAAAAAAAAAAAAAAAAGGTTTGAAAATACAAAAAGGAAGAAGGTGGGGTGAGTGGGAAGAGAAAGGAAGGGAGGAGGGTGGCCCGGTATGCTGCTCTGTTTCTGGGAGGCGGATGCCTCAGTCGAGCGTGGCTGCTGGAGAAGCAGAGCGAGAAAAGGAAGGAAGGCGGCGAGCCACCACCTCGGCGCTGGGCGAAGGTAGCCAAGTCTCAGAAACGGAGAGGCAGGGAAGAGCATCTCCCTTCTCCTTCTCCCCCCACCAGAGTACGAGAAAAATAAAAATATAAGCCAGTTTAGCAGCTTGGTACTGCACCTCTACTCCTGCGCCCGCGCGCGCGCACACACACACACACACGAGAGAACACGCAAAAACAAAGCGGGAGGTGCGGGGGTTGGGGTGGGAAAAAGTCAACAGCCCAGGCGCATCTCTCCAGCGTGGCCTGGGCGCAAGGGTCTCCGGGGCCCGCAGCCTCGGAACGCGAAGGGAGGGGGTTTCTCTCGGCTCCCCTCCCTCGTTTCCCTTTCCTCCAATCGCGCGCAGCCGCCTCCCTCACCCCCTGCGCCCCTGGGCCGAGGGACTGCACCACCTGCCTCCAGCCTCCGCCCCCTCCTCTGCGCGGCCGGGCCTGGCGGGCGCTAGAGCCGGTAGACCGGCTCCCCCCGCAAATCTGCAAGGCGCTGGGAGCAAATGAGGAGCGCGGGTCGGGCCAGTCTCGGGTTCTCGCTTGTAAACTTTATTGTAACTCTTCCGCCCTTTTCAGGCGCAGACAACAGAACAAAGTATAGAGGAACAACAAAATATATAATTAGCCCTCCCTCCCCCCAATAAAGCAATTCACGGATACAGGATACATTCTCTTCACAGTAAACCTAAGAACACTTTTAACAATTGCCCACAGCGCGCATGCTAACTAAAGTAACCTCTTTTGAGAAACACTTAAGACGAAATTGTCAAACCAAAGCGGCGGGCGGGAGCGGGGGGGGCGGCGTGGAGGAAAAGAGAGAAGCCAGAGAGAAAGCCAGCGAGCTAGGAAGGACAGCGGGGAGGGGGGTGGGTGGGAGGGGAAATGAGGACGAGGCGAGAGAGAGAGAGAAAGAGAGAGAAAAGAGAGGGAGGGAGACAGAAAGAATTACGGCGTGAATAGGCAGTTTCATGTTGTTGGGAGAACTTAGCAGAAATCGGTACCTCGGTCATTACAAAGAAGCACGTTCAAAGGAAAAAAAGACCATTGCACAAGGAGGCTTTTTACACGGGGCGGGGGCGGGGGGGGGGTGCTCAGCCAGGCCGCAGCCGCTCACCCTCGCAGGGCGAGGGAGTCCATGCTTAAAATCCTTTTCTTTCCCCCTGGCCCCCAAGAGAAGGGAAGGAGATCCACGGTAGCTCACACACAGAAGCTATTACGAGATACTACCACTAGCGGGGACTGGCGCGGCGGGGACGCTGCGGTGGGAGGCCAGGCTCCGGGCCCCGCTCGCGGGGCCAGAGCTCTCTCGGGCGGGGGCGGGCGACGGTGGCGCGGTCGGGGGACCGGCGGCCCAGGGCGGCCGCGGCCCTGGCAGTCCCAGCTGGAGCCTACTTCTTGTCGCCCTTCTGCGCTTCGCCCTCGTCCGCCGCCTCCGGGGCCCGCTCCAGCTTCTGTTTCTCCAGCTCCTCCTGCTCGCATTTGCTGCTGGGGAACTTGTCTTTGTTGTTCTCTTTTTTCCACTTCATCCTCCGGTTCTGGAACCAGATTTTGACCTGTCTCTCTGTCAGTCCCAGCGCATGCGATACCTCGATCCGCCGCTTGCGAGTCAGATAGGGATTAAATAGGAACTCCTTCTCCAGCTCCAGGGTCTGGTAGCGGCTGTAGGTCTGTCGGCCTCGCCTGCGTCCGGCGGCTGCTGGGAATAGGGGAAAGGGCGAGACAGAGGGGAGGGGAGGGTGGGGGAGGGGGCAGAGACGGAGAAGGTTGGAAGATTCGTGAACCAGCCTAGGAGACCAGTATAATAAGGGCAAGGGACCTTCTACCCCGCGCAGGGGCGGGGGCGCTGGGAGGCCGCGGTCAGTGGAGGGGGGGGGGTGAGGGGGATCAGCCACCACTGAATCTAAGGGAGCCAGAAAGGGGTCCCCCCTCCCCTGGTAACCAGCTCCAGAGAGTTGGGCGGGGGTGGTTGAATCTATTAAAAGTGCCATAAACTTTAGAAGGAAGGATGTGAAGGAGGGGGAAAAATAAGAATAAAAAAAGCCGGGATGGGGACGAATGGACCCACCTTGAAAAGCCCCCAGAGCCTCTGCCCCAGAAGAAAAGTTTCTTCAGGGTAATTAAACTATAAAGCAATTGAGAAGTGCAAAAGTTGAGCGCCCCCACTCCCACCACCCTTTCTCCACTACCCCCCATAAAACAGTAAAAGGGGAAAAAAGGAGGGGAAGAAGAAAAGTCGGGCAGGGTGAGGGGTTTATGGATTCAGGAAATGTCGCTTAGCGACCTCCTTCAAGGGAAACAAAAAGAAGAAAAGGAAGGGAAGGGAGGAAGGAAGGAACGAAGGGGGAGGCTATCTGAAACGGAGCGAGCACGTCTTCCAGGAGCTGGGGACACCAATGCCCGGCCTGCCCGGCCCCCTGCCCGGCCTGGGCCCCGGGTCTCCCTTCCTCCCCCGCCCCCCGCCGGCCCCCGACGCGAGCTCACCTTGCGGGCGCATCCAGGGGAAGAGCTGTGTGGGCGACGGGCTCTGCTCGGACCCCTCGGCCTCCTCTCCCAGGCCGCTGGCGGCGGCGAGCTTACAGTCGGCGTACTGCACCAGGTCTGGATCCTGCGCACCGAACAGGCTTTGCCGCTGCAGCGGGTCGTAGCCGTAGAAGTTGCCCGGGTCCCCGTGGCAGGCCACCGCGCACGGGTTCTGCTGGTAGGGAGCCGTGGACAGCGAAGACGGCCCGTGGTAGAACTCCTGGATTTGCGACGGGTGCTGGAAGCTACCGCCGCTGCTGGGACCGTACACCACGGTGGGTCGGCCGCCCAGGTCCTGGGCGAAGCCGCAGTCATAATAATTGGGGCGCAGGGACTCCCCGGTTTTGTATTTGGAGAACAGTGAGTTGACGAAATAAGAGCTCATTTTATTGAATTTTGAGGCGGCGGCGGCGGCGGCGGCTGTAGTTGGGGGCTGTTGGGGAGGGGGTGGGGAGGGGGAAAGGGAGGGAGAGAGAGAGAAAAAAACGCGGATTCGCCGGCTCCTAGTCACCCTCGCCAGGAAAGGAGACGGGAAGGGAGGAGGTGGGGGAAAGAAAAGAAAGAAAAGGCGAAGAAGATCTCGAAGCCACCACACTTTTTGTGATTTCCAGGAATAGAAAAGGACAGCGAAGCCTCCAAAAGTCTAAGCTTGCATGGCAGCCGCGGCTCGCTCGCCCTCCCCCCACCCCCCACCCCCCACACAAAAATATACCGCCACTTAAAGAGGTCCTCGCTTTACATTTCGAAGAAGGGATGCCAGTTCATAAACAGTTTTCGGTGATTTACTTCCCTGCAAATGAGTTGTTTCATATTTTGCACTGTCTTTTCATGATCATTTGCATCCATTAGAGACCCCGCATCCTATTGGCTTCTCCGTACTCCTCCCGGACAGAACGCAGAGCGAGGGTGAGAGCGAGAGAGAGCGAGCGAGAGAGAGAGCGAGAGCAGAGAGCGCCAGGGAGTGAGGAGAGAGCGGAAAAAAAAAGGAGGGGAAGGAAAAAAAAAAAACACCCAGGGAGAGAGAGGGGGAGAGGGGGAGAGAGGGGGGAAGGAGAGGGGGGGAGAGAGAATGAATACGGATTAAATCTGTTTAACTACCTACATTAATGAGATATCTCTTGCCTCACAACAAATCAAATACCTTCGCAGACCACCCCCAAAGACTGATGTGGGGGAGTCACGGAAAAAAACACGCACACACATACACAACGCGCCAGGCGTAGGCACGCTGTTAATTTCGCGATTTTAACGAGGCAGTTGGAGTCTTTTTAAATGTCAGGGTCGCTTCGGAAAAATGTAAAAGAACACGGTTTAATTGCGCCGAGTTTTAAAAGGTCCTATAAATGTAATTGGTATTTTAATACAAGTTATCAAATCATACAGCTTCCTCTCCTAAACATATTTTCAAACAAACGAGGTAGTCATATTTAAAGCTTTAATGATCAATTTCCTTATTATTGATAAAGGTTTAACTATCGTGTGGAGGGAATTGGCTGGGTAACCAGCCCCCAAAAAAACGGCTGTAAACTCTTTAACAAACTATAAAACGCAATAAAGCCGAGTCTGTTGTTGTTTATGCCGCAGCGCATAAAAGCTGTTAGCATTTTACGAGTTCTTTCCTCTACAGCTATAAAACTGCAGCTTCGATCGCCCCCGCCGCCCGACTGCAGCACGGTGGGGGTGACAAAGCCGAAATGAGAATGATTATGAGTTTTTTTTCGGCGCAAACGGTGACTTTTCTGAGATTTTCCGCCTCCTTCAGCTGTGGGAGCACCTGCCCCCACTCCCTCTCTTAAGCCCCCAAAGTAGCCCTCTCTGCCCAACCCAGGCCACTCACCAACTTTCCTTCATTAAACAAACAAGGTTTTTCTTTGGAGAAGGGATCCAGGAGGGCTTGAGGAGGCATCCGGAGGAAGAGCTGAAACTTTCTGGTTAATGGGCAGTGGAGAAATCCTGAACAAAGCTCACCCCGCAACTCATTCTGCAGTTTAACACAACCTTGGGTGGCTTGGGAAGGGGGTGCTAGAATGAGGAATGGGTCTCTAGAAGGCACTGAGGCCCAGCAAGCAAGACTTTAGGAGACCAACTCTGTGTGATGGGAGAGGGGCCTGATGCCACCACCAGGATACCACCAGCTGGGCTGCCCTAGTCCTGCGCCCAGGCCTTGGGACCCAGTAACCACGCCCAACTGGCTCCCAACCTTCTCAGGCCGGCTCACTACACCTTCCACATCACCACTAGGTGAGAGGGCCCCACCAGGCCCATCAGCACATCAGAGCCAGGGAAGAGCAACTGAGGCTGCCGTCCTGGAGCCTGGCCTCGGCGCCTGCTGTCCCATGCCTTGCTTCCTCTGCCCTGGGCAGTGACTGCAGAGGGTGTGTGGGGAGGGGCACCTTTTAGCCGTCGCTGTCCTTTCAGCCACTGGCCCGGCCTCGCCTGACCTTGGGGTGGAGGGATTTGGATACAGAAAGGCCAGAGTCCCCCATATTCTCTCCTTTCCCCTTGGGCACCTCTAGTTAAACCTAGCTCTCCCTCCAGATCTAAGGACCTAGGGCCTGAAACACAGAATGCAGAACCCAGCTGACTGGATGCCACCCTGTCTTGCTAGTTGCCTTTGCCAGCCTAGTGGGCCCAGTGACAGTGATGGCCAAGCTTTAGAAGGCCCCAAACTCCTCAGTTCAAACCAATGGCTTCCTGAAGAGGCTCCTTGACCAAGGAAAGAAAAGAAGGGAGACAGAGAGAAAGACATTTTCTAACAACAAAGGTGGAGGCTTTACAAATACATTCAGTCTATTGTTTATTCATGAGAGAGAGGCTTGCTTTTGGAGGGGTCTTTTGGGGGGTTCCATTCATCCCCCCCTTTGTAAAAATGAAACCTATTACCTCTTCTAAGGGAAAAGTACCAGTGGGGCCACTTGATCCTTCAAAAGCGAATCTAAAGACTGAAGAGGGGCTGATAGGGAAAGGGAGAAAGGAGAAAAGGAGAGGAGCAAACCAGGGTCTTGAATGTTCAGCGCCAGGCTGAGGGGGGTGGTGAGGCAGCGGGAGACAGAGTTAAGTTGTTGCCGAAGCGAACATTTTTATCAAGTGCAGGGGATTTTATGGTCATGATTTGAGGACTCACCGGTGAGGTAGAAATTCAATGGCTTGTTCTAAATCATCCCTACACCGTGCCAGAAATTCCTGATGGAAGGAAAATGTTTCTATTATAAGAAAAAACAAGAAAGAGCGAGGAGATAATTTATAAACACCCAACGGAGCTCAGATTTATTAGAGAAACTCAAGTTGAGAAACTCCGCTTTCTGCTTCGCACCCGGTTCAGGGGGAGGAGAGGCGAGGCTGCAGAGTGGCTAATTTTAAGGAGAAGGGGGGCATCTATTTCTCGCGCACGTTTGTCCGAAATGGGGGGCAAGGATCGGGCCGGGCCCGGTGGGGAGGAAATGGGAGATTTGGAATCTAAGGGGCTATATGGGCAGGGGCTGACAGCGCCGCGGGTCACCAAAGGAAAAACGCCTGGAGTCCAGGCCTCCAGCTGCTAACTTGAGAAGGGACCGGTGCTCTCCAGGTCTGCCTGGGGCCGGGGCCAGGGCGCGCGGAGCCAGAGCTCTCACCTGGAAACCACCGGACGCGGAGAGAACCCGAGCCCCTGCTTCCTGCACTGCCCCTGTCCCCACAGCCAAGCAGAAAACGCACTCTTTTCTGGCGGCCCAACTTGGCCCAGAACTACTCAGGAAATACCCGAGCCTTTCGCACCTCGCCGTCCTGGGGAGCCCCTGCCCCAGCCTGGGTCGCTCGGCGCCGCCCCGCCCAGCCCCGGCCACGTACAAAGGCTATGGAGCCTCGGTCCTTGCCGAGCCGCACCGCCGGTTCTGGGCACCACCGAATCCCCGCCAAAGCCACGGATCCGTTCCCCCCATAGTGCCCCATCCCCAACCCGGCCTGGCTCACCCGGTTCCCTCTCCCGCTGATCTTGCAGCAGCCTGGGGCGGCTTCCTCTCCATCCGACCTGCTTCTGCCGGCTCGCCCCTCTCACCTGACCTGCTCACCCGCATCCGCAGGCATTCCTTTCGCCCCCATCCTGGAAAATCTCATTATTCTGAACCAATTCTCCTCTTTTATTTGGATCCACTGGTCCAATAATTACTATTATTCCCCATTTTCATGCACTTGTGGTCCCACGGAACATAGAAACTGGGTGAGAAGCCCTGAGCCCTTCTGGGGGAAATCCGAAAAAAAAAAAAAAAAAAAGATCATTTGAGGAGAGGAGGTCAATCAACATCACTATATCTGAAATCTATAAAATGGGGGAAACGGCCATAATGAACCCTATTTTTATTCTGGCCAAATAATTCATGACTTTTGGTAGTGCTCAATTCATAGGTTTCTGGGCCGCCCGAGATGCGAGGTGCAGCCGCGGGCGCCCGAAGCCGCCGCACCGGGGATTTTCACGTGGAGCAAGGATGCCATCTAGCGGCCGTGTTGAGGAAAGGCGCCGCCGCCACCGCTCCCTCCTGCCTCTGCGAGAGCCAGCCACTGCGCCAACAACCCCGAGAAACTTTCAATATTAACCTAAAAGGGGAGGAAAACGAGAGCCGGCGAACGGGAAGGCGTCGGAAATTAGGAAATGGTTCATGAAATTGTGCAGTTACGTTAAAGATTTAAAAAAGAGAGAGAAGAACAAAAAGAGAGAGGATGGGAAGGGGAAAAGAAGTCAGCTTCTCTCTCTCTCACCCCCCACCTCAAGCCCTTAATTTCGGGCGGAGACAGCCGAGCAGTGCGCCTCCTACGGCCCCTAAAAGAGGGAGCCGAACACTTTTCAAACGCAACACGATTGTTGCAAATTCTGAGGGAAAACAATTGGGCTTTCTGTGGGGAGAGAGGAGGTCCGAGAGGGTGGGACAAGACTGTAAAAGGATCAAGAGGCTGCTCGCGCCCAGACGTCTGGCCCCGCCGGACCTGCGTGTGTGTGTGTGTGTGTGTGTGTGCGTGCCCGCGCGTGTGTGCAGGGGGCTTCTCTTTATGACGCCCGATGGAGGGGGGGGCGCTTACGAAGAACAAAGACTAGGGTCTCAGTTGCGTTCTGTGAAGCGTTTGTGACAACAAAGTGTTCTTCCCTCGCCCCTCCCTCCTCGCCCCCTTTTGCCCCCTGGGGCCCCCCCGGAAACCCCGCGCTTCGCGCTCCGGGCGGGTGTGGGTGGGGGCGGCCGAGCCAAGCCCACCCATTCGCCCGCCAGGCCCGGAGCACAGGCCCAGCTGTGGCTCTCTCAGCTCCGGAAAGTTTCCCCTCACTGTTTGCTTTGCTGCTGTTTAGTTTCTTAACCTTCAGAAATTTATACGCTATAAACTTTTATAGCGGTCATATTCTTTTATTGCTGCGCACACGGCATTGAATTCCTCTCCCGGCTTCTCTCTGGCTCGCACTCTCCCGGTCCCCCTCTCTGAATCTCTCTTTTATTACGGCAGATTTCCCCATCTCCGGCTTCCGAGCCTCTGCATCTTCGCCTTTGTTTGTCTTTAAAGAAGCCACCAGGGGTTGGGGACCCAGACGCCGCCGCCGGAGGCTTCCCGGGGCGCCCTCGCCCCCCCTACCCGGCAGCACTCCGTTCAGCTCCTGCCTCACTTTTTGCGTTTCCTTTTGGCGGAATCTGGCCTTCTCGGCTCCGTCTCAGCTCAGGCTGGCTCCCGGGAGCCCAGAATGGGGAGGGAGCCTAGTCTACGCAAGCTCTGAAGGCAGATTCACTTGATATACCGACTGGAACCCTCGGAGGAGGAGGCGGGTTGGGGCCCCGGCGTACCAGGAGCTTCGCGTTCTCCTGCCTCCGGCTGTCTCTCCAATCGTGCGTTCGCTGGAGAGGGGTAGGCCTGGCCTTTTCGCTTCCAGGCCGCTTTCACAAGGGCCAGACTTTGTCCCCACCTCTATCCCAACCTCAGGGTCTCCGCGGACTGCAGCGCCGCTGGGTGGGCCCGGTGGGAGGCTCCGGCAGGCGTCCGGCGCCCAAGAGCCAGCCCGGCAGAAGCGGAATCCCAGCGCCTGGATGAGAACCGCCTGGCTGCCGACAACAGCGCTCCTCATCTGAGGCTCTGGTGGTGGACGCCGCAGTCTGAGAGGGACAGAAAGGTGCCTTTTGAAACCGAATTTAGTTTTGGGGTCCGATTGGGGAAGGGATTCCAACCCCCTGCCCCGCCTCAACCATTTCTGTTCGACACACAACCGTCTCTCCCAGCCTGTAGGAGCTGCCTCCCCAGACCCCACTCCCACCAAACTCCACCCGCGTTACACCAAGGCTGCTACCCCGAGACTCAGATTGGAGCCTCAGACTCCAGGTGGGGATTGAAAACCTGGGGTTCACTCTTTTTGAAGGGTGGAAGAAAGGACAGCCTGGCCTTGTGGAGGCCTCTATTTGCATCCTGTCCCTCTGCTGCAGGGAAGAGCAGAAAGAAGTTACCGCTCTCTCCACTTGCTTGACATTTTCAAGTGGCCAAACCAAGGTGCCTTTCTCAGCCGAGAGAGGATCTGCTTCCAGGCGTGGCAGGGCAACCTTGCCTTTCCTCTGGCTCTGGAGGTGGTGGGGAAGTCTCCAGTGTAACTTGAGGAAAGTCACATTGCTCCCTGCAGACCCAGACCCCCATCTCTAATCTTTCCTTTTCTTCCCCTCCAGTCTCCCAGCCCTCCTGTTGGAAGGTTCTTCTCAGTTTCAGCAGAGGTCTTGGGTCCAGACCAGCTCTCAGCTCCTGCAGGAAGCAAACCCTACAAGGTCTAAGGAGAAATCTCTTGGGCACAGGACTTTCTCTTTTTTTCCAAGCCACCCCCTTGGAACTAGCACCTCTACTTCTGGCCAGGTGAGGAGAGCCCACACAGAATGACACACGAGAGGCTTATTGTCTAGAGTGATATATATATTTTTTGTTCTTTTTCTGTTTTTTTTTCTTCCAAAACAATCAGAGCTCTAAGCCCCTCACCCTCCCCACTCCCACCCAAAACCCTCCCTTGTAAGCGACAACTGAAAACAGGCGAGACAATCACCCCCAAAGAAATCACAAGACACAGCACAATTTCACGACTGCCACCGACGAAGCAAAAAAAGTTCTACTGGAATGTCCCCTTGCAGGGTCGGGAGAAGCAGGAGCCAGAGTCTATGAATTGAGGGGAGGGTGGAAAGGTGGGGAAGCAGGGGGAGGAAAGGAAGCAGAGAGGAAGCCCTAGCCTAATGCTTAGGTGCGATTTCGGCCTCTTTCCTTAGCAAGCGGGACTGCTCCCCAGAAGCGTGCGCGCGCAGGTCGCCATCCAGGCGGGTCTCTGCGCTTTTGCGGTGAAGCGGCAGCTGCCAAGCCGGAGGCTCCTCCGCAGGGGTCGGACTGGGCAGGATTGGAGGAGTAAGTCAAGCTCCCGCGAGCCCAGAGTTTTTGCTCCTCCCTGTCTTCCACGACTTGCTCTGGAGAGGAGCCCAGGAATCGATGCACAATAAATTCTCCATCGGGTTCTCCTGACCTGGCTTTCCTGCCTAAGGAGGAGGAGAGCTAGCAGAGGATGCAGGGTTGGGGCGGGGGGAGGGGGGGTTTCTATAAGGGCGACTTGACTCGCTGGTGCAAGGTGGACTGGCTGAACAGAGTTGATTTCAGAGCTGGGGAGGATGCAGAAGAATGCAGCAGGGCCGGTGTCAAGCAAGAGAAGCCACAGTCTCTGTCAAGCAGGGCACAGATGAACGGGAGGATGACACTGTCAAGGCTTATGACCCACGATCTGACCTCCTTTTGTTGGAAGGATAGGAAAACAACATGCAGAATTAAACATTTCCTGCAGCAAAACGTGTATATGTGGACTACTTTCATAAAACCTAAGAGACTCTCATAAGACCACCGCTGCCTTTCCTTGCCCTTTGAAGCCCACCAGCTGGGGAACTGAGTTTATCCCATTTGGCCTTGAGTCCATGCCTGGGCATAGTTAAGGATTCCGTGGGGGGGATGGTGTGATGCTGGGCCCCTTGAACTGCAGCGCCTCATTCAGGAATGTGTCTCAAGACATCTTCTTGGTGTGTATTGCATTAGGGGTAGACCCTGGACTTTGCTGACAGTCGAGGGGCTATTCTGCCAGATGTGGGGTGTGATAGCACTTGGGGTGTCACTTTGAGTGTTGACTGTGGGCTTTTCCCATTGTTACTGTGAGCTCCAGACTTCATGCAGGCGGGCATCTGTTGGGCTGTGTGCACTTGGAGTGTCCCCGGGTGACTTTGGGATAGGTGTGTGGGAAGGAACAGGCAGGTTGGAAGTGAGGAACTGGGGTTGCCCAGAAAAATTAGGAGGGTTACTAGGGACTCTACTAGGGGTTGTCTTTCCTTGTGGCCCATCACCTTCTTAGGAATCAACTACATCTACCTTCTAAATCAATGAGAACTCCTCCTGAGACCCAGGGAGAAGAGAAGGACAGGTGAGGGCAAAGGAAAGGAGAGAGCCTCTAGATACAGAAAAGGACTTCGAAGAGAAAGATCCCCTTCCCCATTCACTAGAATACCTCCCAGACGGCACTGGCTCTGCAGCTATCACTTATAAATAAGCGTGAGACGGAGAAGGGGTGGGGTGGGCTAGGGGAATCTTTACTCTTTGCCCTGTTCCTTATTCATTTTCTTCATTTTCATCCGCCGGTTCTGAAACCAGATTTTGACTTGTCTCTCACTCAGATTGAGGAGTCTGGCCACTTCGTGCCTACGGTCCCTGGTGAGGTACATATTGAACAGAAACTCCTTCTCTAGCTCCAGCGTCTGGTATTTGGTGTAGGGACAGCGCTTTTTCCGGGAAGAGCGAGCGTGCAGCCAGTTGGCGGAGGGGTTGGCTGAAAGAGAAGCAGCGATAGAATCAAAGAAAAGAAAGGCGGTGAAGGGCCCCTGTGTTCTCCTTCCAAGAGGGTGCCCCTTTGGTCTCCACTCCCCATTTTTATTAGAGAAAGGGCCACCTGGGCCTTCAGCTCCCAGAAAGGGTCTCAGAGATGGGCCAGGAGCTGCTATAGAAACCTCCAGGTGAGAGAGTTTTGGACAGGATAGAGCCAAACCTGTGCCAGGCATCCCACAACTTCCAAAGCTTTGCCTGCCCCAGGCCCTCTCTGAGTCTCTTTCTCGGCTTGGGTCAGAACTGGTTAGGATTCAGGTCAGAGCCCAGCCTGGCTAAAGCCCCCTCCCCCACCAGCTCTACAAGACTAATGAGGTGGCTAGTTGACCAGAGTACTGGCTCTAAGTCTGAGAGGTAAGAGAAAGTCCGAGCTGGGAGAGAGGAGAGTGGCTTCTGCTCAGCCAAACTGAGGGACCTCCTGGCCCTCCAGTCCAGTTGAGTGCTCCCTCCTGTCTTGATCACAAGCTTGGGTCTCTTGGCCACATGGCAGCAGGCATATGTGTCTATGTGATATCTCGCCACCCACCCCCCCCAACACCACACACCACAAATATGGTTTGCATTTAGAGACGCAAACATTCAGCACACTCCAATTCACATGCAACCCAATTACAACCATTTATCACCTCCAGCCTGTGGACAAGAGAGCGCTGGGGGCTCACAGATAACTTATGGTTGCAATAGTCTCTGTTTCCGCTCCTGCTCATCTCGCAGTTTGGTTAAAGCAAGTTCAGGGAAATTGGGAAGCAAGATTGCTCCAGTCCCAAGGTGGGGAGCCATGAATCATGTGGGGGTAACAGAAGTCAATCACAGCACACCTAAATCCAACTGGCTCCAACCGGTGAGAGGGGACAGAGAAAGGGGTGATTGAGGGGAAGTGGGGGATAAACAGGAAACAAAAATATATACAGGCTTCTCTTCTCCTTACCCCTGAACTCAGAAAAGTTGCCAAATAGAGCAGTTAATTAAAAATAGCAGCCACCCTCTGCTAGATTCCTTCACCCCAAATGAAAAGCACTGAATATTTTTTTAAAGTAATAATAATCTGGTTCATCCTCCACTAAGTACCCTGTCTTACCAATTTGCAGTGCTATTTCCTTAATGTGATTGCCTGGGATGGGACCCGCAGCCACATTAAATATGAAAGAGAAAAAAAAAAACTTAATAATTGATCCTAGCCAAACTGCTGCCTTGCAATAATGGACTTTCCAGGCAGAGTTTGGGGGCCTGGGGTGGGGGGGTCTGCTTGGGTGTGAGCAGGGAGGCTTTGGGAAGAGCCGTGTATTACCCAAATGTCAGCTCTTGTGATCCCACCTGGCAGGTTGGAAGGGGTGACCTGAGGGAGTAGGGCAGCTCTCTTTCCTCCAGCAGGCAATACACCCCCAAAGGACCTGTGGGCCACTCTGATAGTGGGAAATGCGGCAGGGCAAGCAGAGACTTAAAAAATCTGACCCGAAAAAGAGTAAGGGGTGAGGACTTGTCCCCGCCAGCCTGCAGGTTATTGTTTGGGGCCTAAGAGCTCCGACCAACTTGCCCTTCTCAGCCTTAAAAAACGAAAAATCCGAGACTCTTTCTGATCCCCTTAGGGAGCAGCACCTCCTGGAAATTAGTCAGACTGGGGTTCCTGGAGGGGGTGCATTTGGAGGGGTGGGAGACGGTGAGAAACTACCTTCCGAGGATAAAGTTCTCCGCCTCTCAGCAAGCCTCTCTTCCCCCCACCCTTCCTCTCCCCAGGGTCCTTTCGGGATCTCTCTCCACGCCGCGGGTCGGCCCTGAAGTTCGGAAGCGATTCCTCGACTCCCCGCGAGGCGGACAGCTCCGGCTGGGGCTAGGGAGCCCTGCGGAGAGCAGCGGGAACCGCAGGAAAGGAAGCGGCAACCCGGGCGAGGATGCCAAAGGAGGGGAGGGGGCGACCGGAGGAAAGGCTCCTGGGGAGGGGCCGGCGCATCCCGGGAGGGGGCTTAGTCTCTGGGTCCTGGGCTTCCCCCGCCCCTCCCGGCGCCGGCTGCGGACCCTGAGCGGCTACTGAGCGAGATCTGCTAGGAACAATCCTCCGCCAAGCTGTTGCATCGCAAATAAAATCCTAATGAGCCCCCTCCCACTTCCCCTTGGCCGGCTTTTACGGTGTGCGCGTGGCGCGGGGAGCCCTGCCAGCCGTACAGGGCTTCCCGGCGCGCTCCCGCCCTGGCCCGCGCGGCTCTCGGCCTCGCCGGCTGCCTCCCCGGCCCCGCCAGCTCCTCTCCCAGCCGGCGGTCGTCGGCCTCTTCCCAGGCTTTCGGCCCGGGCCTCCGGGGGCGTGGGGGAAGGGAGGCCGAGAGAGCGGCGAGCTGGTCCCTGTGCCCCGGGTTCCCGCTGGACTTGACGGAGCGGGGCGGCGCGCCTCCGGCGGCCTCAGCCTCCCTTTCTGGAGCACCCAGCTGCCTCCCTTCCTTCCTCCGTCTTCCCTCCGCCCTCGCCTGCTCTCCGGCCATCGCCGCGGTTTCCCTTCACATTGTCCGCAGTTTATTGCCTCTCCCCTCCCCTCCCCCTCGCCTGGCCTTCGGCCTGGGTATTTCCTCACTTTTTATAACTTACTTTGATCCGGCCTCTCTTTGTCCTCGCTTCCTTCGCAAATTTTATTGTCCCCGTAGCCGGGCCTTTGATTAGACAGGACGGCCTCCCTGCCCGCCGAAGTTTCCAAACTGTACTCGGGCGTGCCCTGCTTCAGGAGCTCCCCAGGCGCGCCCAGCAGCGGCTCCGCCTTCACAGCCGCCTGGCCCTGCCCCGGAGCAGCTTCGCCGCGCGGCGCCGGCTCCAGCCAGGTGCGGAGGTACCTGCTCTCGGCCGGCGGGACGCCCTGGGGCTGGATGTAGGGGTGGTAGACGGACGGCAGGCTTCCGGACGCGTGCGGGCTCAGCGGCGCCCAGGATGCGCCGAACACCGGCGCTTTGGGCTGGAAGCTGCACGAGGGGAACTCCAGGTGCTCCGCGTGGCCCGGCTGCCGGGGGCTCGCGTACTGGCCGGAAGGAAACTTGGCTGGAGGCGCGTCCTCACTCTCGTGACTTATGATCGAGTCGACATAATAGCTGCTAAGCGTCCCAGAAATGGACATTCTCAGACATTATCCGGGCGCTCGCAGGGGGAAGGGAAACGCTCGCGCGCGGCGCTCAAGCCGGGAGAGGTGGCACCCGGACCGGTGTGAGGGCTTTCGGACGCGACCCCCCCCAGCCCCCCACCCTCCCACCCCCACCCCCTGCTCAACTTCTCAGCCAACAAAGTACAGTGGAGCAGCCCGGCTCAGCGCTCCTTGCAAAATGATTGGTCAAAGTTTTTCCGACTGCCTGATAAAGCGTCAGCTCCGACATAAATCAATCGGGCGAGGGGGCTGCGCTCTCGCTGTCATACGTCCGCACCGCATTCCATATCGAGGATGGATTGTTTTATGCTGATGCAATGTGCTATCACGTCAGGGCTCCGGCGGCCACGTAACCTCAGCCCAAGCTGCCGGCCGCCCGCCCCCCACGCCCCCACCCCCGCTTTTGCAGGAAGGGGGGCAGTTCTCGACGTGGGGCTGCGGGGGCGGAGGAGAGGCGGAGGGAAAGCAGCGGGCTGCCTCGGGAGGGACGCTGGCTGTGGAGCCCTCTCCCCAGGCGGGTCCGAGAGGGAGCGCCGGACACAGGGAGGGAGAGAGCCCCTGCCAGAGGAGCGGCCCGAGAGGCCCGGGGCATAATTAAAGAAAGAGGTGGTCCCGGCCCCTTCACAAACACACCTCCACTCCACCCAGCCGGCCCTTTTCCTTTTCTCAGTCCCCTGACGCAATATGTTTATTAAACAATAGCGCGGCAGCAAGCCACTGGAGATGAAGGCAAGGGGATGGGGGAGAAGTTGGGATTTTATAGGAGGGGACTCTAACTAGTTTGGGAGGTTTGTAGGCCTGGGACTTTCTCCTGGCCCCTCAGTAGCTGAGGGAGGAGAGAAGGGAATAAAAGGGTCTGAGTGTCCAAAGATCCTGTCCTAAAATCTAGCTGTCTTGAAATTAGAGCCCGTATGAGGTTAAAGCGATTCATTAGGCAGGCCCTGGAAAGTTGAGCCTCCTAGAGTCCAGTACAACTAATCAAAGCTCCTTTAAATTTCTTGGGCCTCTCTCTGGCCTTGGTCAGAAGTGCACAGCTATTTGTCCTTTCCCCCACTGAATAACAGACCCCTAACATTGCCCAGGGGCAGCCGAACGAGAGAAAGGGTTAAGGGAAGTTCCCTAAGGCGTCAGCAGAGCAGAGCTGTGAGAAGGGGTCCAGAGTTCTCTCCCCTTCCACCCAGTGGGGTAAGGAGGTGACTCCCGCGAGTTTCCTCCTCTCCTGACCGCTCTTCCCCGGCATTGCCCGCTCCGAAGGATTTCCAAACACGCTGTATTGGGCACCAGCATGGACTGGGAACCTCGGGGGTCAGTCTCCCGCCCTCCCGCCGCTTTTCCTCCTGCAGATCCTTGCAAGGAGCTACCAAAGAGCCCACTTGATTGGTATCTACTCCGCGGCCCTGCGCCGGGGCTCCCCCGGGGCCCCCGGCCGGCTTCCTGGCCCATCTCCAGCCGTCGCTCCTCCGGCTTCTGTTCTCGGAGCTGTTGCTTCTGGTGGTGTGGGCGTTCAGGGAGGGGCGGCCCCTGGACAGACCCGCTTCTCTCCGGTCAGGTTTCAGGCAGGCTGGGGCCGATTTTCTTAGCAGTCTCCGACCCTGGGCCCTTGTAAGACAGGCTGTCCCAGTCCTGTCGTTTTAACAAAAGCGGGACCATTCTAATTTGCGGTTTTATCTTTTTGGCCATGCACCCTTCTGCCATGCAGAAGGCTGCGGATCACCTCCACATACGCACACACTCCCGCCCGCTTTTCTTTCCAAATGAAGCCATCTCGTGTCATTACGTGTGAAATACGAGGGCAAAGCGCCATATTTCTTCACATTATGGCGATTTCAAAATGATTTTTTAAAGATCAATGCCGGCGCCCAGCCGGCCCCCTCCTTTTCCACCCCAGCTCTCTGAGGGCGACAGCCCAGCAGATCCGGAACCAAACAGCGTGAAGATCTGCTTTTTCCATGGGACCCAAGTGGGAAAACAGAAATTCGATGCAAATTCTTCTAAGTAGCGTTTGGACGCTTGGGAAAGTCGAGGGAGCTCCCCAGACTCGCTAGCGGAAAAAGCTGGGCACCGGGCGAATGAATCACAGTTATGGAAAAGCACCTGTTCTCCATTTGCCAGACCTATGCCGTCTGCTGTTGGCTTTACCTGTAATACAGATATTCTTCAGAAAGGAAAAGGAAAAAACACTCCTCTCCTACTATAAATAATGGTGTTATGAAGCATGGGGGGCTGAGTATATGACTTTCCGTAATATATAAATTAGGGCCCCAAAGGACATGAGGGCTGTGGCCAGGGACTTTTTTATTTATGGCAAAGCCACAGCGCACAGGGCTATTCTTAAGACCCAGGCTGTGCAGACGCTGGGCTCCCCGCCCTTCTGGTTGCCATTCTCTCTCTGGCTTTGCCGCTGCCTCTCTTTGTGACAAGAGAGAAGTTGAGAGAGTCACTTAGTTTAGGGAAGAAGTTTGAGGAAGAATATTAGGCTCATGACCTGTGCCCTACAAGGGTGGAGTGTCCCAGCAGACAGGTTTGTGCACTGCTGTCTGTCTGGTGAGTTTCCCCTAACCCCTGTGGCTCTAGGGTGCTGGGTGAAGAGGGGACTCAGACCTCTTTTCTGAGACCAAAACTTAGCTTTTGCTCATAAACAAGCTGGAGGGTGGGAATAATTCCAAAATGACAGGTTTTGGAGGTCTTGTCATCTTCTCAGAAGAGGTGACTCTGGAGGGAAGAGAATGAACCAGCACTTAAGCCCTGGAGTCCGCACCCCAGCTCATCTCCTCCAAGTGGGGATCCAGATATACCAAGCAGTAAGTCCCATGTCAGCTAGGCTTTCTAGAAAGCACTGCTGCTCCAAATTGGAGCTCAATTTCGGCTCAGGCAAATGATTAAAGGGTCAGCTGAGAGGAAGCTCCTCGTCTGGGTGCTCTGAGGACCTGTGAACCGCCCCCCAAAACCTTGTTTTCTCTCCCAGACAATGATACCCACCATGAAGGAGAGAAGCAAATAGGATTGCAGCCCCTGGAGCCCAGCTTCCAGGGCTGCTTAATAGAGGGTTGCTTGAGTGGGGGTCACTTCGCCCTGAGACACCAAAATGCTCCCCACCTCCCCCCCAGCCGTAAAGAGATAGAAGGAAAACCCTCTTGAAGCCTCTTGCCATTCCCTTCACCGGAGCTGCGCCTGAACACAGCTGGGGCCAGTAGCTGACAGTTCCGGGGAAGGGCAGGCAGGGAAGAGCTGCAGCTTCTGCCCACAGTGGGGCCCAGAGCAGCCAAGAACCAAGAAGGAAGCCGAGGTGAGAAGATCAGAGGCCAACCCTGGCCAGGACCAGCCGGTGAGTGCCTGTGGTTTAAGGGCTGTTTTAGAAGGGCCCTTCACTCTGAGAGAGAGAGAAAATCTAGACAGAGGGAAGGAAATAAAAGCAAGGAAAAAAACAAAGAAAAACAGTAAGTGGAAAAGGGAGAAAGTTTTTTAATCAACAAGCTAAGCTGAAATCTATGCATGTGTATTGAATAGATGTGTTTCCTGTACTATATTTCAAATCAATATTTCCATATGGGGAACCCAGCGTGCAAATGTGCTGTGCTCTATGCTGTGTACAGAATATGCAATAAATAAATCTGCCCAACTATAATACTAAATGTGTTTGGGCATTTGTATATAAGATCTAATGGTGCACATGTAAATGTGTATATGATTCTGCTCACATAAAAAGATCTATAACCCCAAAGCTTGTGTGTACATTTTCATAACCATCACACACTTATAGATAGGGCAAAAACTTGCATATCTGTGTACTTGAGTTGTGGCTATAAAACATTAGCTGATTCAGAAGCTTTACTATATTCAAGCAAAATATCCACAAACACGTGTGACCTAAGTCTGGATTCTTTTACAACTCCATTCTAAAATATTTCTCTGAGAGGTGAAGGAAATGCCTCAAATTGGCCCAGGGCAGGTTGTGAAATTTTGTGACTTTTTTGTCTGACCATGAAACCCTTTACTGCATCTCTTACCCAAAAACCACAGGGAGAGTGTACATCCTGTGATGCTTATTTCATGGTCGTGATGGACACAGGGATGAAGGCACAGTTCCTTGTGCACAAGTATGTCTCACACAAGTGTGAATCTGACCAGTGGTCAGAGATGAGTTGAATGTGAAAGCTCTCAGGTAACTGTAGAGGTCACACAAAAGGACTGCTGTGTACAATGAAATTAGGAAAGTCCCCATGGCACCTGGAGTTTATTTTTTCTGAACCACGATCAGAGTCCAGCCCCACTGTTGGAAAGAATGAGGTATGGGGACACTTGCTCCAGGGGGTGAAATCAAGAGTCCCCAGAACCTTCACTCTTTACATACAACAACCTCCAAAAGGAGCTGCATTCGATCTGCAAACATGGGTTCAACCCTTAGCGCTTCCACACCCTCCACGTGGGGATTTTAATTGTAAAGTAACGAAATCTTCTCCCTAACCTCCCTCCAGGTTGTCAGAGGTGAAAAGAAGGACAGACAAAGAGGTCAGTGGCCCAATCACATCCCAGGAATTTCTAACTACCAGGAATATGGGAGGCCATGGGGTGGCTGACTCTTTGGGAGCCCGTATCCAGGAGGCCAAACGGGGTGGGCAGCAGGCGGGGCGGAAAGAGTTGAGCAGGTAGAAGGTTATTACGGAATTGCTTCCATAAAACCTGTGGCTGTTGTAAAACTCTCTGCTTTCCAAAGACTTTATTTCCTCCTCTCTCTCTAACATCCCCCTTTTTTCTTTTTACAGCACTGTTCCTGGGAGGGGGTGGCCAAGGGACACCAAGGGATGGAAGACAGTCAGGCTCTGAGTGGCTGGGCAGGTTCCTGAGAGGCTGAGAAGGAAGGTAAGGCAACAGGACGCTCCAGACCATCTTCACCCAGACCCGAGGATGAGGAAATGTCAGGACAGTGGGCTGCATTTCCTCCCAGGCTGAGGGTGGGTCTCCCAAGGACCTCCTCCACCCTAGCAGAGGCCCCTTATTCAGAGACACCCTTCGCCCTCCAAGTCAGCCCCGGCGCCAGAGCCCCATCCGGTCGGCCTCTTCCCCAGACCCCCTTCCGCCTTTCCTCTGCCTCAAGCTGGAGGAAAAAAGTTTGGGAACAACAGTTAGCTTATGCTTTGGACCGTCCCCCTCCTTCCACCAGCACTTGTAGTCACTCCTTTCCTGGGCAGAGAGCCAGCAGCCTGGAGAGGGCTGGGGTCAAAGAGGGTATCACAGCTTTGCCCCTGCCCCCTCCCCATCTCCTATCACTCCATCAGTCTGGGCTGAACTGTCCAACAGTCTGGGGTCCCCACTAGCCTGCAAGACAGGCCCCTTTGGGTGGGGGTGACCCTCCATACTTGGGATACCCACAGCCCAGCCCAAGGATCTACAGGGGAACCCTGGCCACTCAGTAGGAAGAGGCCATCTGAAGGCTGGGGAAAGGGAGGACTGTTTTGGACCCACCTCTGTCTCACTAGGAGGAGGCTAGAAAGGACCCTGGGAGCCTGGAGGCTGAGGCTGCAAGAGATCCTGATGTTTCCCTTTCAGAATAGGATAGGCTGAGCCCTATTCAAGGACACCCGAAGCCTCCTGTGGAAGTGGAGCCCTGTCCACCTGGCAAAAGGTTTCATAGACCTCAAGGTCATCCTGTGTCTCTGCTGAAATCAAGTGCTTGCCCAGTTAGGGAGACTTTCTTTGAAAAGTCTGAATGTAGCCCAAGCAGTTAGCTTGAAGCCCCAACTCAGATCCTTTTGGCTCTGTAGAACAGCCCAGAAAGGTGCCTTTGGAGAGTGCAACACTCTTCAGTGCCCCTTCCCCTCCCAACACACGTGTAACCGAATACCTAAGTGGGAAGACACCCTAGGGCAGCCCAGATCTCCTCTCTGGGGAACATTCTTGCTGCTCCTGGATTAGGGACCTCATACCTCTTCACGTGTTGCGAGGGTGAGACTAGTTCTGAGTCTGCTTCCCCGCCCACCCTCCACTCCTCCAGCTAAGCGAGGAGCAGTAACTGCCGTGAGTCGGGTGGTTTAATGTCGTTGTGTTCAGAAATCCAGGCCCAACAACATGAAACTACCTAATTCACTCAGCAGTTCCAGTTCATGCTCCAGGTCAAGGGCTCACTGGGGACAGGTCCCTGCAGCCATTTTTGTGGGCCCAACGGGCTGGCCAGCTAACTTCCTTTTTCTCCACCTCTTCCCAAACAGAACACAGTTGCTAGTAAACAAGTCCAGAGAACTGGAGGCAGGACTCCAGGCAAAACCTCTGGAGCTGGTTCTGGCAGCTCAGATTCCAGGAACTTTTGTTCCCTCTCAGGAGCTCTAGTCAGAGGGGACCCTGGGCCCAGCCTGGGCAGGGCCATGCGGATATACCTGCTTGGTCACTGCCTCTCAGCCTCTCTGAAGCTGGAGGTCTCCACAGCCAAAAAGATTTCTCTCTCAACTTCAAACTGCTATCAAGGTATGTGTGCGGTCACCATCTGTCTAGCGCCTATCCTCCAGGGTCACCCAGGGTAGCTCTAAGAAGCCGAATCCTCAAGTCCTACGTCAGACCGCAACTTTGAAACGGGCAGAGACAAGCGAGTGGAGAAAAACTGACAGTCGGAGCGGGAGCGGAAAAGCAAGAGTGTGAGAAAGTCTCAGAAGACGGGGCGCAAACACAAGCCCAGGACTGAAAGGCAAGGCAAGAGGGTTGACCTGAGCAGCCTCCAGGAAGTTACCCTGCCCCATCTACGCAGAGGCAGAGCTGTCCCAGGTAAAACAACCCATTCTGAATTCACAGGTGAAACCGGGAACTTCGCTCCTTCCTTCTGGACCTTCAGCCTGGACCCTTCTCTCCCCGGCCCCCACCGATGTCCCCTGCTGCCACTTCCGCCCCTCCGGACCCCACGCCCTCACAGGTGCCCGGGCGCACACGCCGCACCCGGCGGCGGCCGCGCGGGCCGAGCGGCGGACTTACCTGGGCGGCAGCGGCGGCGGCGGGAGCGGCCGTCGGAAGGGGCGGCAGGCGCGGAGCCAGCGGTCCTGTCCCACCCGGCCCGGCTCCCTCCCGGCCTCGTCCGAGAGGCCAGGGTCCTAGCGGCCACGTGTCAGACGGGGAAGTCCGAGGGGGCGCAGGAGTCTGCGGGGCCGTCCGCTCCCCCTCCCGGGTATAAATCTTGGGGACCGGAAATACAATAAAACTTCACCGTGTTGATGAACTTCAAACGGTTTACATCCCCTCCTGTCCTGAAAAGAAAGACGGCCGGGGGCGGGTTAAAGGAAAGGGAAACAAATTTATGAGCCGCGGAAGCACCCGCTCGGCCCCTTTCTTTCGCCGGGCGGCCGGTGTCCGCGTGGAGAGAAGCGGTCTGTCCTCGGACTGGGCCCGCGATCCCCGCCGCCCGCTCGGCGCTCACGGGGTCTGGAGGCCGCCTCCCGCTGGAAAACGCACCGAGGCCTCTGCTCGCCTCCCCACTCCTGGCGAGCAGAGCTAGGCGCCGGGCCTTCTGGTTACGGCTCTGACAGCCAGCCACGGCCTGACCTCGGTTCTTTGCATCTTTGCGCCGAAAGCGGGTTTTATTTTCCTTTTTTCGCTCTAGCCGCCAGATCTTTGCCCTGCCCCTCCCTGTTTATTGCCAGGAACTTGCTGGAAAGGAGGAGAGAGTCAGAAGGTCTGAGGGGCTGAGTCGGGCAAGGGCACCCAGAGGAGAAACCGAGGGGCCGGTCTTCGCCGGAGTGGCAGTGACGGCCAGCGGCTAATAGTGTCCCAAATCGTCTCCTCTCTGCTTTCCTAAAATACTCAAAATCAAACAAAAATGACCACTACCCAGCCTGCCACTAATCCTCTCCATAGTTCTTTTCTGCCCTGGGCCATTTTTTTGTTTTGTTTTGTTTTTTACAAACTTTGTGGAATCCAGATTTGGAATGGCAGTTCTGCCGTATGAACCAAAACTGAGAAAAATCCCTTTCGCCTTGGGCTCCAGATTACTGGGAGTAAAGTTACTGATTTCTTGCTCACTTTGTCTGATGAAGGGGTCTGGTTAGGTGCGCTTCAGGGTGGGAGAGCAAAGGAATTCCAGCATGCCTCACAGTTATTCATAAAACAAAACAAGAGAGACCAACCAAGGATTCGGGTCTAACAGGCTCTGGAGAGGTTTGTGTACAGGATTGAGGGCCGGCTGCAGACGCAGGTGGGGTATGGTGCACTGATGCTCACCTTTTCACACAGACACACAGGTGTGACCCTGCATGCCTCACAAACTCCACCACCTACCCCTCCAGGTAAAGGCCCCAAAGCATTACTGGGGATTTTAAAAAATGGATTAAAAGTGGCATGGACAGGGAAAATATGAGGTTGTGGCTTAGTTTCCAAATTTTCTGAAAGGCCAACTCTGCTTCAGGCAGTCCCACTCTGCCTCAGCTGGCAAGGGGTGGGGAATGCCCTCTGGCCCCTTCACCCTCACCAAGAGGGAGGAAGCTGGGAGCTCATTAACAGCTGGAAGACAGGAAGTAACTTGTTTCTATCCCAACATTCATATTCCAGGATATGCATGGGGCGGCCCCTCCAGCATGTGCCCCACTTCCCTCTTTTCACTCTTTGTCTTGCTGTACATTTTTTTTTTTTTAACAAAACAGTCACTCCTTCTATTAGAGAGGATTTGCCTCAGAGTTATTAGTGATAGAAGAAGGGCAGACCTGAGGGGCGGCAGTTTCCACACCATTCTAGAGTGTTGCTGCCCACCCCTGCCCTCCTAGGTTGTGGGGGTGAGGGGGGTAGAGACAGGTCAGTGTGCTGGCTCCCTGCCCATTGCTGACCTCAGTCTTTGTGGAATCTGGGAAAATGGAAGAGACCACAGCCTTAGAATGACATACCTGAGCACACACTAATTTTGCACACACTTTTCGGGGGCTTTCTGGTTTCCCTTTACCCCATCCCAGGAACCCAGGCCATGGATTTCAGTTTAAAAATTAAACTCTGCATGGGGCCTCCAGCACCTAAAACCATAGATGCTGGACAGCCTTTTTCATCCCAAGGTCACCTGGCTCCAGAGTCAACTTTCAAATGCTCACCACAGATACCCAGCAACAGGGGAGCTGATGCCAACAAGCAACCTCCTGAATGTCTCTCATACACTAGTTGATAGTCACTGGTGAGTAAAGGCCACTTGGGCAATGTTTCTTTCCACCCTCAAAAGTTTTCCAAAAGCACATCCATTTCCAAGTTACTCTGAAAATTGAAAATGTAGATGATCAAGCTGTTAGATTTGGGGGAGGCTTTTTCCTACTCCAGTCCCCCCTGGAAAATAAAGCAGAGTTCTAGCATAGTTGGTGGAGAGTGGACAATTTGGATGGCGAGATGAGACAATGTAGACGAGATGCCCAACACCGGATCCTCAAAGGAACAGAAATTGAGACACCACCGCCCCCTCCCATTTAGTGAGAATGACAAGAATAAATATTTTGAGGCCTTCCAGGTCCGCGTCCCTTCCTAGGGTTCATTAAGCGGGGGCTGTCTCAGACAAGTCAAAGGTGCCAGAGGCCGTGCTCCTGAAACCAGAGCTGAATTCGCTCCCTGCCCACCCCAATTTCTGGATCGGCTGCGGAAGCAGCTCTGAAGTCGCTGGCGGATGGGGCTGTGGCCGCTGCCGACCTCTAGGCGGCGGCCTGGCGTTGAGTCCGCGCTGAAGAAGATCCTCCTCCGGTAGCTTTGTGTCCCGCGCCGAGTGAAGGGGCCTGCAAACGCACTGGGCTTGGCCTGGAGCTGGCCGCCGGCGTGTCGCCTTTGGCGCCCTCTGCCAAGCAAAAGAAACACGATTAAACGAGTGAGGGCTGGGAAAGGAATCCACAGCTAATCATGGCTCCATCCGCTCCCAACCCCCTACCCCATCCCCAACTCTAGGGAGCCTTCCACAGCCCAAATCTCCTTTGATCTCTCCGGAAGCCGGCTCAGGGGCA